ATGGGCATCTTAACCACCATAGACTTTTTCTTCAGGTTAGACTGGGGTTAAGATTGAATCTCATAGCTAGTATATCTGAATGGTGGATAATTTTGCCAGGTACAATAACATGAATAAGTGCTGTTACTTAAACATTTGAAAATATTTGGGTGTAAAAGCCTAAGACAGTGAAACAGTGCACACCCGTTGTAATCAATATTTTTTCTCAAGGTAAAGTGAAACTCAACATACTTGACTAAACATGTCAGCAGTGAACAAATGAAAATGATGGCACTGAGACATTAGAGAATAGCTCTATGATTCATATTTAAGAGTGAATAATACTGAAAGAATTTGGGGAATACTCAGAAATACAGATAAGAGGAAACCACACAAAAGGCACAGGTATCAGGCTCAAAAAGCAGGGACAGCTGACATGTAAATCTGAATCTAGCTATGGATACCCAAAAGCACAGACAAGATGAAAGAGGTATTTGAAAAACTTGGTTTTGCAAGAGAAAACTGAGCAATAAGGGGAGAGAGAGGAGTGCAAGAGATAATTAGACACTTACAGAGTACAGACTATGTCAATTCTCCCCAAAACTGGCAGCTCTGCTTAAGTATTACACATTCCTGTCACACATTTACGAGCATTAAAAAGTGTAGGGCTTACAAAAGTCTGGCACCACAGGCAGCAGGAAAAAAACTGCACACTTGCCGTTAAAAATCCCTATATTTCCAATTGATCTTATGATAGATAAAGTCAGGAGTGACATAAGAAGACTAGTCTCCAGAAATACAGGATATCCAATATATATTAATCATATATAGTAATAGTTGCTACTGCTAATTCATTTCATCTTCCTTGCCTTGACTCTTTTCAAGTCGCTGATACAAAACTATGTAAGGCAGATAGTTTCTTTTGTTCCAATCTTACTTTCTGCCTTACCACGTTGTTCCTCAGACACCGTGTTATCTTTAAAACATGTACAAAATTGAAATCATGTCAGATTCTGTTACTGTCCTAAAGCCAACATTTTAATACCACGCTATTAGTTCTATATTTAATACTAAAATGGTAGCAGTACCTCTTCCGCAAAGTTAGTTTTCTTGTCAAGCATTTCTCGTAATGTCTGAAGAATTTTAATGCAGAGCTTTTCTTCTTTCTCCATTAGCTTCTTTGTGTGATTAATCAACCTTAAAGTAAAATATTAAACCTTAAAGAACATTGCACATTGTTGCTAAGCCATACTACAATTTCTTTATGCAAAAATTGCCTGTCACTATATTTTTCCTCAAGGAGAGGAAATAAAAGTAGACAAGAGAAATCATAATTAAAAAGGAAATGGGACTTTCAAGGTGTTGAGTTTTTTGGGTCAATTTGCATACCTTACTGCCCATACAGAAGGCAGAATTCTACATCCACTTTTTACAAGAGCTTCCAGATGAAGATCCAAACTTGCTGTCTCATCCTTTCTTTATTTAAAAGTAACATGTATTTATTTTAACCTTTATTTAAAGGTAACCAATGTTCACCATGCATCTTGCAAACTTTAAAAGCTACAACCTTTACACCCTCCAACCTTGATGATGGTTATAGTTATTATATAATTAGCAAATGGCATCCAGCCAAAAGGATCTTCAAAAACCTTACACAGAAGCATTCAGAAATGCAGATATTTGGATGAAACATAACTATTGTTTACATTTGCACAACCACTTTACAAGACTCTTTCAAGTCAGAAAACAAGGTACATTTCCGACTCCAGCTAAGACCGTGATGGGAGTTTGGCTTTCAGTCAGATGAAGCCAATACCAGAAGCAGCCTTCCTACTTCTGTACAGAGCAAGTCCTTTCACTGGTCTGCCTCACTGCTGGAGAAATGTTTTTGAAAACAGAAGGGAGGAGGAAATCTGAAAGCCTTGGACAGGTTTTTTTTCCATCAGTACCAGTGCTGGGTTATAGTGGATAGAGTAGTGTTCATCAAATTATGGCCTAGGATCAGCATACAGCAAAGGCACTGTGGTCACCAATTTACACTGAAAGATGGCACCGTTAACGGTCCTAAATCACAGTCACCAAAAACAGGGTTGGGAGGGATGACACTGCATCATCTAGACCAGCGCACATAACCCAAAAAAACCTGTTTATATTTAGATCACAGCTAAGTTAGTGCGCCAATCCCATCCTGGGCTCAGTGGAGATGCTGCGCAGGACTATCCCACTGTCATCTTCACTAATTTCATGAGATACGAGTCCAACAGAATGCAGCTCTCAGGCCTGCAGTACTAACAATATTTTTGAAGAGTTGTACTAATAATATTTTTAAAGAGTTACACCTTTATCTCGGGACTCCTGCATAGCTCTGCAAAGCATTCCTTTGCCATGGAAGTTAATTAAATAAAACAGAAAACTGTTTATTGCATTACATGGGCCATGTCCGGCAGCCCTCGGCTTGATTTGATGCTGACTTTCAGAGGAGTTTGGACAGAGGGGATTGGATGGGACAAGCTCAAAATTTAACTTAATTTTTCCAAACGTATAAAATATATTGTTATAACACCACCTCTGCAGAATATGCAAAAAGCCAAGGAATCAGGAGAGCTGCCAAATGTGTTCATTTCCCCCAGGTTACCTCTGTTTAAATTATAGTTTCTCAAGGGCAGCGAGGGCATCTCACTTGAGGACTAATAAAAAAACTGCAAGACTCTATTCCAATGCACAGACTGCAAATAAAACATCTAATAATTCAAGACCAGGTAGGGGTGCCAGTGAAATGTATTTTTAAAAGAGCTGTTGGCACTTTAAAATAAAAATCAAAAGATTTATTTGCTTTACCAAAAAAAAAAAAAAAAATCCAGCCCTGAGCACCCCACCCTGCCTCACTACGAATTCTTGAAAATTCTACCATGGGAAGTCTTAAGTTTCTGCTGTAGATTTGGAGAAACTTAATATAGGAGTAGGTTGAGCCTGTTAGTAGTTTTAACACGCTACTAACATTCAATTTCTAGGCAGGCAAGACAAGCAACCTCTCTCTCTACTCCTCTCCAGACTCCTAAACTGGTGAGAAACATAAAACATGCAGCCAAAGACCTCAGTTTGAGCTTTCAGTATGAACTCAGACACCTACATGCTTAAGTCACTGTTGAAAATCAGAGGTAAGTGCTGCTGAAAATTGTAACTCCCTGCCTTCTTTTGTGAAGAAGCAAATAGGCCTCTCCTTACACCACTTACTTGGACATGAAAGCACCGCATCTTATTCTGGCATCACTCCCCTCAGGAAAAAGAAGTTCTGGACTGTGCAGCACATCAACCAGCACTGAGAATTCAGCTTGCATCATGGGAGTGAACTGCTGCTCCAAGGACGACACTACATCCTAGGGAAAAAGAAGAAGAATGTCTATTTGTAACTATGTCTCGCCAAGAAAACTAGAAGAACGCTGCTGTGGAGTTGCACAATACTGTGCGATGGGCTGTTTGACCCACTTCTGACAGCCAGCAGCAAGAGCCCATGTTAACCCAGGTGACAGTAAAGCAACCTCATGCCTTTCTTCATGCCAGTCCTCAAGGCAGGGAAGGTGACCATTACTATCTACCTTGCTGTTCTCTCTCAAATTTCTCCTCTGCAGTAATGCCCCCAAAACACGTGGCAACAGTCAGCATGATGGTGTGCTGGAAAAACGCTGCTTGTCATGTGTGGTGTTAGTGTATCACCCGAGGCATTGCTTCCCGGGTATTTAGGGCTCCTCCATTTGCCTGGGTCCTGCTGTTTTCTTCGTTCATAAACTCCTGATGTCATTTAACCACTACCTGCACAAGGTGACCTCCACCTTATAGGTATTCTCCAGCGACAGAAATCTGACATTGGCTCCTAAAACCCCCAGTACCTCCTCTGCAGGCAAAACAGGACATGTGACCATGAAAAGGCAGAAAGGAGATCCTCCTCAGTAAACCACTTTGGGGGACAGAACGTACTTCCTACCCCTCTCTGCTGACTTCTGTAGGAGCCAAATTCAGATCATGGATCTAAAGGCCCTGCACGTTGGCTTCACGTTGAACAGATACCAGAGAAGAGCCGAGCCCTCTACTTCCCCCACCTAGAAGTGCAAAGGTCACTGTAATAACAGCACTAAAAATGCAGTGAGTCTATCTCTGGTGTTTTCCACATCTGGCACGCATTAGATAAATGCACTACTACAACTACTGCCAGAGCCATTTGATATTGTTGTACCTGTAGTTTTTCTATTATATTCCTGTAATCCCAGGCAGGTCCACCAAGAGCTTCTTTAAAACGAGGTCCACTGCGGGCTGACATTCTCCACCCCATGGCTGCTCTCTGCACCATGTTAGAGTGACTCTTCATGAACAAGGTGTTGACCTGGCTGTCCAAATCCACTGGAATTGCAATCCCACGGTTCTTTGCTTTAATAGGAAGAAAAAAGAAGAAATTTAAAGTGGCAAAAACTTGAAAATCTTATGAAGATCATGGCATGCAAAATCCTGATACTCTTGAAGTTGAAGTGCAGAGGGATCTCATTTCAACAGGTTTTGCAAATAAGGATCAAAAACCTAAGCTGGTAGAAATCAGCCATAATCTAGTTAAAGAATGCAAGCTGTACCACTTTAAATCAGGTAAGGATCATTTCCAGTGTATATTTTCATAGGTACAGATGTTTATTTTTTTAAAACAGAATAATCTTTTTTACTAACTTAAAAAAGAAATCAGATCCAGAGATATTACTAAGAGTAACAAAAAGAATATGCATTATTTCAACAGCTAGTTTTACTCTATTCAGAAATAAATTCAAAAATTCTTCTTTCTAGTGGACATATGCACATTTAGCCAATTTATCCCAAGTGCAATTTGTTGCCTTCCTGTGTATTTCTCTTGTGAAGACCTTGAGAAACCAAGTGCATACAAATTAAATTCGAAAAAGACTGTCTCCTCTTCTCTCTCCCTTCAGTTTCCTATACAGCCAGGGTTGTTAAGCCATGGGGTTCCTGGATGCCAATGCAGGATAACCGATATTTAATAAACATGTAATAATTTAACTGATAGTTAAACAAATTTAACCAATAGTTAAAAAATGCAATTTTTTTTTTTAGACTTGAGGGGCAGGAAGTGACAAAAGAGAGAATATCAGAGAAAAAAAACCTGAGGAAAGACTTGCACGAATTCTTACAAGGCATCCACTATTAAACTACTATTGCATCCTGAACTGTCATTTGAAAAGGAAGCTTGAAAGACAATGTTAGAAGCTATCTGCCCTCTCATCCATGAAAATCTTTGTGTTAGCTGCATCTCTCCATTCCACTGGAGATCAGAGTGACATTCTTCTATGGCTCAGCACGAGTTGTCTGAAAGTCAACAAATAAACAAGAGATCAATGCAGCAATATCTCTGTTTGAAATATTAGGTCACATTCCAGTGATTAGGCTTTGTATTCTATGTCATTTCACTTAATTTCCATGGCACAGTTTATGTTTAATAAAAACTTAGAAGTAAAATGGAGAAGCAGTTCTAGTTCATTTGTAATAATGACTAATAATGACTAATTTTTCAGTTTTCCTGATTGAAACAAGGTGAATTTTTAAAAAAAACATTACCCCATATTACAGTTCTGCACAATGTTTCTCTAAGGCGTTTCCCCACCATTCTGCACTAACATGCACGCTTCCCACAGTAGCGGAAGGCATCAAAAATATTCCACCCCTCCCTCCCAGTTCTTAAAACATACACAACTTTAAGTCCTGAACTTGTGAAGTCAACAGATGCCCTTCTTTGCTAAACAAGCCTATGCATCAAACCCCACAGGAGTACGTGCAAGCAGAGCGCCAGGCATACAGCTCTGATGAATGAAGGCTCGTGTGCTGCCAAGCACAGTGAGTCACAGATCCCAGGCAGAAACTTTCTCTTCCCCCGAATACTATATTGTAATGGCAGCATTTATTATAAACCTAAATTTGGCTGTGACACCTCGACCCCCAATCTCACAGGCTACGGCAAGAGTGCTCCGTCACGTGTGTCCTCATCCCTTTCATAGCTCCCGTGGCTGCAGGACACCCTCCTCTCTTCCCACTGCAAGGGTGTATCCTGATGCAGGACCAGGGCCTCCACCTGCGAATTAGGCTCTTTAACTGGGATGGAAGAGAGATCTCTTACTCTGTTTCTGGTAGGCACTTTCTTTTAAACAGTTTGCCATAGGGAATTAAAAAAAATTTTTCTTAGGTCAAGATGGGAAGACACATTTCCCCACAACCACGTACGAATCCTCAGCAGCAGATCTACAGCAGTTTCCATGCTGGCAACTGACTTTTCTTTCCACTCTTGATTTGTTTTGAAGGCAAGGTTCCTGATTATCATGAGGCAAATACCATGTATGGCTGGCCATTATTTCTAATGACTGTTTTTCCATATTATTTGACTGGGTTATTTTTCAAAACACATTTGCCCTGTTGCTGCTTACTTTATTACAGAAGTCCATTAAAGTTCTGCCAGTGTGCATAGGGTGCTGCAGCCTATTAATCCAATTTATTGTGTCCTAATGTCAATCACTGGAATGTTATCGGACACTGCTCACTTCTCAATTAAGTGGTACGTATGCAGAATCCTGATATATCCAGGAATAATTTTAGCAATGGGGAACATGCTGTTCAGAGGAAAACCCAGACTTCTGCAGTCCTATAGATGCCATTTGAAGTTAACAACTTCCATCAGTGTCTGAGGAGCAGTCAAGGACTATGATTGTTCAAAGAGTTGCAACTAATTAAAACTATCACAAAGAAAACCAGAGAGAGAGAGGAAAAAAAAATACTCCTTTGTTTTGAACAGTTCTTATATGTATAATTCCATTTGTAATTAAGATTTGTATTAGTTGTCAAAGGGCACTGTTGAAGTCTAAGCTATAAACAAAGGCTTTGTCTTCTTATTTCTTTGCAGCTTGTAGAAAGTTTATCTTTCATTTGTTTCACATTTCATTATTTAAAACAACATGAAACATATTTTTACATTTTGGAAAGCTGATGAACAAATGTGAACATAAATATTTATTTTTAATTTAGGTGTTGTAGGCTGCTTTCCTCTTCAAAATGTGTCAATCTCCCTTAAAGTATGAACATAAAATATTTAAAAGCATGTTTATTTTTGTTCCACTTACTTAGAAATACTTTTGGACGGCACTCAAACTTGCAGAGTAGGGTTAGAGCTGGTAGACAAAGGAGCTAGGAGGGGGTAAAATTGTGTCTTTCATCTGACTAGTGAACTTGGGGAAAAAAAGTACGCTACATGGCTGTATGTAAAGTGGTACTATACGTATCAAGCAGGATACTTACCAGGATGGACTAGAACATGTCTTCAGCTAAGGTAAATTCTGCCTTGCTGTGGAGGGCATGGCATAGGCTTATATACTGCCCAATTCCTACCTAGCGCACCCTGCACAGGGCTAATTACACCCGGAATACACTACACTGTTTTGCCAGTCTCAGAGGAAATGCAATTTGCTGGGAAATCCTTTGCACGACTAACTCTCAACCTGCTGCTCACAATTCTGCTATCAGCCATAGCCACAGCTGAGCCAAGATAAGCATGCAAATGGTACCTGTGGAAATAGTAAGCAACACAGTACCGCCAGTGCAGCCAGGTCACAGTAAAATGTTCTGCTCTGTGCTGGATGGTTCTGTGTGTATCCAGTGCATCAGCAGCTTTCCTCTCCTTTACTGTTTAAACTGTGAAAAAGTACTCAGAGATGGGGACTCAAAAGAAAAGGGCAACATTAATGTCGAGACTAGAGTAGCTAAAAATCAAGCTGCTCTCTACGAGTGAGCTGGATTCCAACAAAGTCCCAAGAGCGTAGTCCAGCTGCTAACAGAAGGGCTGAAATGGGCTGGCTGAGATGTATTTTGTTAAATTACCTGCATGTAGTTCCCTTCACAGAAGCATAGAAATTGGAAGTAAAAGGACCTATTTCAGGAATGCTTGCTGAAGCACTGTCCTTTCACTACACTGCCTACCTGAGCCTTAGGATCAGTTTAGTACTAAGGATTTCCAGGAAATGGCCCTTGCCTGTAATTTTCCTTGGAAGCCCATTCTTCAGAGTAATCTATCTTGCCATAAGGAAGCTTGCCATTCTCCTTGATATTCCCACCTAGTGCTCCCTAATTTTAAATTTCACTCCATTAGCTTTTGTAGTATTTACAAAATACAACAGTATTTAGTGGCTTTCCAGCTATTTAGTACACTTTGCACTACCCTAAACCATCCCTGCTGTGGGTTTTCTGGGGGACACGCAGGCGTTTCACCCCTTATTGCGCCTCAAGAAGGAGCGTGACAGACAATCTGGGTCACAAAAAAGCCACAGCTGTACCTGGCTGTGAAGCCTTTATTCTTCTTGCTGTTTACGCCCCTCTGGTAGTTGCAGACAGCTATATCATGTTCTCCCACACTTTCCAGTTGTCACTTAATGGAGCGATGCATATTTAGTTCAATTAATTTTGCTCCATAAATCAGTCCCTCCAGCTCCTTAATCATTTACTGACTGCTTAACAAATGCATTTGGATGGAGAGACACTAATGCTAGCAACAGCAAGACTTTTTAAGGGAAATAAAAGCTTTGTGTAGACAAGACACAAGCCTGCTAATCTTGTACCCTTCACTTGGATGTTTTTTTCCAACAGAAAATCTACGCTAAAATATTTATCAGTCTGTAAAAAGATCATCATTGAATTTTTCTTGCAATTAGGGAAACACAAACAGTTAAAATAGAATAAAATATGTGCTTCATCTGAAACGTATTCTTCTTGCTGTCAAAAAAGTAACAACAGGATAATTATTTTATTTGAACTAGAAATTGAAAATGAAGGTCTAGCTTCTTATAAAATGGAAAAAACATCTTAAAACTCAAATGGGAAGTGAAATAAAGTATTTTCAGGGCTGAAAAAATTCTTATAGGAAAGTTGATCTCTGTGGGCATGAAAATAAGTACAATAATTCCAAAGAAGTAATAAAAGGTAACCTAGATTTTATGTTTAATGTTTCCTGTTTGTAATTTGTCAGGGAAAAGGAAAGGGTTTTAGAGGCATAAAAGCATGGTCAAGAAGCACCACGGGAGAGTTTTTTGGATTCTGTACAAAGGGGTAGTGGTGAGCTGAAATACTCAACTAGAAAGGACTTCACTACTCCCTTCAGACCATCTGCTCTCTGTTACAGACAATCCATGTTCTTTAATTAATCTTTTGAAAAATGTATCGAGCCCCATTTAAAATGAAACTACCTTTTCTGCCATCCCTCTTCCCTCCATTTGCTCTTGGCCTGTTAACCAAGTGTCCTTGGTTCCAAACCTCTGATTTACAATCTAAATTTATTTAGGTTATTTACAACCTAGCATAATTTATGTCCAGTTAGTTTTGGGTCAGCAGTGTCCTTTAGCTTAAATGTCTCTTCTTCATGACTATTTATCTTCCTAAGTACTTTTAAAGAGCAACACCACAGGCCTTTGTTTTGCTAGGCAAAACATGCGGGGCTCCTGTAGTCTCGTCTTGTAATACAGTTCTCTTTTCTCCAGACCATCACAGTAGTACTTCCTCTGTACCTGTTCCAGTTTTGAACTTATGAAATAGCAATCTTACAGGATTCACCTCCAATTTTGTACGATGGAAACAAGGATTCTCCTTTTGCTTCTCCTGCACAGCATCCTAGAGTATAATCTGATAATGACTAATGTAATTTGGCTTGCTAACAGATTTTTTTTTTTTAAAGGGTTTGCCAAGAGAAATAGTTCAACAAAACGCAGGTTCCTATCTGCCACTGTTTACTCATCTGGGAAGTTCCAATTATTTCATTATTGGTGGTAACAGCACAGCCATACACGTACTACATCCTTGGGATACACACACAGTATCAGCGGCAAGGTGCAATTTGTAAAAACATAAGGGAGAAAGCTAATGGATACTACAGAGACAAGAAAATAATACAACTAGATTCGCCCTTGTAACAGAAAACTGATGCTCAGGGGTGAAAATACGAGAATCATCACTTAATTAAGAAGCAAAGACAGTTCTTTGCATGGGTCCTGAAACACTGGTCAGCCCTGGGAGAAAGACCCTGCTCCAATACACTTTAAGATATACAATCCAGATCTTTAGTTGTGCGGACAGGTGATATTCCACAATTTTACCACAGGGAAAGACAGTAGATGGTTTAAAATGCGGACTTTGAAACTGGCCTCCACCCTTCTCAATCTTGCAAAGATTGTAAAATGTAGGAACTGAAAGTCCTTTGATAATGAATTCATTTGAAATAAATTAAACTGTTAGATATCTTAGTTCCTCTGTTTTCACAAAGATCAGGGGACCTTTTAAACATTTTTCATTTGTAGCTATTTTACCAGTGAGATGGAAGCTGGTTTGATCATTCATTTTTTGGACTATATTTTCAAGCAAAAGCTCAGTCTTATGTAACAATAGAGAAAAAGCAAAAGTGATATATGCATAATGTGTTAATTCTCGTTACTGCGATAATCTGCTTCAGAAATCCATACGGACAAGACACACTAGTATACATATATTATTTTGTAAGGGTTTCTACTCATGCCAGGTAGCCAAATGTTTACTGGGCAATAAAAACCCAATGCATGTTGGTATCTGTGTTCCAAATCTCTTGGAGCCACAGAGGGGTCTGCTGAAGAAGAGAAGCAAGCTGCTATGCTTCTTGCAGAACTGGAGGCAGACAACTGCCTGGAGACAAAGCAGCCAGCGAAGCTTGAAAAGCTTATGAAGTTTTTCCCTAGTGGTCAAGTGGAGTTGAAGTACCAGGGTTATAAGAAATTAGCTTCTGCAACATATCCTTTTGTTGACCTGGAAGATAACGCACATTCTTACAGTGCTCATAAGACGACAGATGTAATGATCTTAAGCTCTTGAGGCAATACTTACATCCACCTGCCAGCAACAAACTAGTAAGCACTGAGCAGAATGTATGTTGCTTAAACTTGCTCTGAAATGGGTCTTCTAAAAGTGCATTATTATATGGATCTTTGATATCTTGGGAAATCTGTGTATGATCTTTCTTCCTCCTGAGATTCATTTCTAAAGCCAGGGCTATGACACACACACAAAAAAATCATGTTTGTTCTTTCAATTCTATACTACATTTATTTTCCATCAAAAGTCTTTGGTCCCTGCTGTAAATCTGTCCAATACTCTATGATATAGGCAAAATCTTTCTAGAGGTTTTTTTTTTTTTTAAAAACCCTGCTGTGAAACATGAAGGCCCTAACATTAAAGCTGTCAGACTCTCAAGTCAAAAAAAAAAAAAAAAATAAGGCAGAAGAGTGCTCACAGATGCCTAGCCAAAATCCAAACCTAGTCCACATACACAGCCAGCAAGAGGCAAAAAAAGGCTGCCCTGTTTGTATTATGGAAGAAACCTCTGCCTTCTCAAAGAGAAGCACCATTTTGTGCGGTGGAACACCCGATAGAGAAAGGCACCAGGCATGCACTGTAATCACAAAAAGGCCTTGATTTTAAAAGCCTCTGGTACCCCCAGCTGGGGCAGTTTTTCCAAAGCTTTCAGCAGAGCAGAGCAGGCCTACTCAATTAGCCCAGGCAAGACACGTTTGGCACCATGCCTAAAAATACTGAGTATCACCGGTGGTTAAAATCTGTGCTAGCCAGCCAAACTTTTGCACAGGGGCGTTTGTTGAAAACTCTGCTTCCACTTCTTCTCTGGCTGACTTGCTCTTCGGGGAAATCCCCCTCACCTGTTCTCTTATACCCCCTTTCTGCACTTTCAAAATAAAACGCCAAATAAAAATGTGTGGCAATTTGCTAACACAACACAACACAACACAACACAATTTTACCATGCTTGATATTGATATTAGTGATGCATCCTTAAAGAGCTACTACGATACGGACAAGGAAATCGGCAATATGCATGCCAGCACGTGCTTTCAAGGGGCAGCTCCGAGGCTGCCAGGCCCATGGCACCCCCCGGTGATGCCTGGCCTCCCTGCCCTGCTGCCACTGCAGGTGGCACGAAGGTCCCAGAGGAGGGAGGACACGGGGTGATGCCCTTCACCAGCCGCTCAGCTCCACGCTGCCGCGCCTGAGAGCGCCCAGGGCACGGCTGGGCTCCCGTGGGTGGGAAGCCAGAGTAGCAAGGTTGGACCCGTAGGACAGCGCAAGAGTATACTTAATAAAAACCAACTGTAAACCATCTCCATAAAACAGAAAAAGGAATGAAACAAAAGAGAAGACTACAGCAGGGGTAGAAATTAAATTCACCAAAGGGAACCAAGTCACATATCTGAAGAAAACTCCAGACATCAGCCATGCCTTGCATTCGGAGCTTCCCTTGGCTCCCCCCGGGAACAAGAGGCACACAGAAGATGACCTACTGAAGACCACCAGCCCTTTCACGTGCTGGTGCACCTGGCCAAGAAGCTGGATCTATCAGCCCCATTAAGGTGACCCACGCTTCCCCTGTCAGGCTGCTGTGGGGATGAGTTCAGCTTGGCTGTCTCGGCACTATGCTCAAGTGTCTCCAAATACCCTCATCTCAGCGAGATAAGACAGTGACCTCTCTGAGCTAGAATTTGATTTTAGGTGTAGCTCTACAGAAATGAAGACACCGAGCTGTCCAGAAGCACACACAGGGCATGCTCAGTCTCAAAAATACTCTCACCTGCCCTACTTCTTCCCCCTTTCCCCAGACTCCCAAAGGAAGTAATTTACTGATGACTCTTTCCAGAACTGCCAGAGAACAGCAGGGATGCAAGTGTTAAACACACAAACAAGGATTTGTAGCGCTAGAGCTTTATTTGAGACTGTAGTAGCTGTAGCATAAAGGAAATAAAACATCTTCAACTTCCAAAGTTCTCTTGCCAGATGGATCCATAATTAAATCATTTGCACAACAAATAAAAACAATTGAAGGTTGCTAAGTTTTTAGGTAACTGCTCATTCTCATTCACACAAAAAGTTAATGAGATGTTTTGGCTAAAATGTTAAATGATACTCCTGTAAAGCTATTCCAAAAATCTAAATTTAGAGTCAATTGTTACAATGCCACAGATGCTGCAGATGGTTAAGGGACCCTCTCATATTGTTTTATCATTATGTATTAAGACTTTTAAAAATTCGACAACAGGATTTAGCCAGTTTCTACATACCTCTGCCTCTACTCGGTTTTCATTCACACTGAGCAGAACCTTATTTACAAGTAATCAGAATGACTGACTTTTAGAAACTATATTGAATAATCCTTTTTTCTGTCACGGCAGAAGACTTTAAAATTGTATTCACAGAAATTTAACTTAAGAATGAACTTAGCTTTGTATTGGTGAAGATCTTTTTTATTTTAGGATATGAAGTTTTAAATCTTCCACTTTAACATGGTATTTGAAATTATTTGAAAGCGTGTAACTTATTAGGTGCCCTGAGGACCAAGTCTGGTCTTGGTGCCAGTGCAAGGCACTATTCGCCTGAGAATGCTGACTATGTAACAGCAGTAAATGAGTGGGCCTGATGGTGAGGAGTAAGCAGAGAAGCTATGGAGTGGCACAATTGTGATTTCCATCCCCAACTCCCTGATGGAACAAAACCTGAACAAGCCCAGGACCATGACTGACAATAACAAATGCATCTCCCAGGACCTGAGGGGAAAAATGATGGGTGTTCTCCAATGCACTATTGCTATGCATCACTGCTTACAACAGCTTGTGCAAATGTAGCCCAGCCCAACTAGAAATGCGCAGGTTTTCTCATAGCTTATGTTGTGTTTTAATATCATAACTTGCTTGAGGTAAAGTTCAACCATCACTCACTTAGAAAACATCTCTCTGACCTACAAGTTTCACCTAACAACCCTAATTGATGGGACAGATTTGAATGGGTTATTTTCCATAACCAGAGTCAAATTAAAACCCGTTCCACCTCAAGTAAGTCTGATCTTAAAACACAGAGAGCAATAATGAAAGTAAAACGTGGCACCTACCCACTTCAGCCAGAGTCTTGATACATGACTCCACTGAGGCTTTCTGCGTTGGGTTTGGCCAAGTACAGTTGTAAATTCTAAAAGCAGACTGCAGCAGCTGAATAAAAACAGGCTGGTGTGTCTGAAAACAAAAAGATAAACACAGAATTTTACCCTTTAGAATCTCATCACAACTGCCCTAGGTTTTGACACAATGTAAACCACATGCAAGGGGTTTTCAGCTTGTGGACTCAAGTTACAACTCTATTAAAGTCTCTTTGCTCTTCAGGACTGGGAGGGAACAGAAATCAATGCTGCACCCCTAAAAAGACCAGATCATGCAATTTTTCCTCAGATCGCCACTGATACCAAGCAAACACAGTACAGAGCAGAAGGACGTAGGAGTCTTCCCAGTTCTCAGGTATGTGTCCTTTTTGTCATAGGACACAGCATTTTTCTCATACAAAGACAGACCATTATTCTGCAAGGATACCCCCTCCAATGAATTCACAAGAGCCAGGAATAAATCTGACCATATTGAGCTGTCTACTGGTTCAGAGCTGTAAGTGGTAAAAATTAAGAGTAAGTGTTTTAAAGAGGAATTAAGCTGCTAGCCAGTGGCATGAGAGGGGACAGAGAAATTAAAGGAGGATGTAAAGATACAGCATTCCTATCTGGGTAGCAGAAGGTATCTCATTAATGGTCTGAATAACATATTTGTCTGCATCTCTTTTCCTTACCTGGAGGCTGGTGCTGTTATCTGAAAATGGCGAATTGAAGAAGCCACTTACAATGTTCATTACGGGCTCAGTGACATATTTCTCCAGAGATGTGTCTGCATGTTTACGATCTGTGGTTGTGTTACAAACCTACAGGGAAGAAGGAGGAAACAATGAGATTTAGTTCTTTTAAATAAGCATGCTTTACTATTTTGTATTTATTACAACACATGTAATACTTCTTCATACAAAACCAAATGATTTTTATACAAAAGCTATCAGAGATAACTATCTTAGCGTTCAAGCTGTATTTGTGATAGCTTATCTTTCTTCTTGGAGGTCCACATTGTCTTTTGAATACCTTTCTCTTCTGAACTAGCTCTTTCTGGTTGGCTGTCTATTCTTTCCCACACCATGAAAAAAGATCCCTCTAAATCAGCACATTGCATGCCACTTACACATTTAGACAGATTCAAGAAGAAAATGGGCCTTTCCTCCCATTGTGGGGCTGGTTGGAAGAGGCTTTAGACACGGATGAGACATAAACACCTTAGGTACAAAAGATTTCGTGTAATGTTTAACTTCTCTCTACAATCAATCACCACAAATGGGTGGTGAAGGTGAAGCTCATTTGCAGGAAAAATGTTAAAAAAAGAGGGAAAGAAAGAAAACAGCATAGTCAATACCAACAGCCTTTAGGATTGTGAACTGTAAGACAAGCAGCATTACTTAGGAAAGCCACGTGGGGAAAATACAAAAGACAAGCTAAAAACAATGAAAGAAGAGAATGGATAGTACTGGGACAACTCTGGAGCACAGAAGGATGATTAAATGGTGGGAGGATGTGGGAAGATTTGTACAAAAGATTCCTGAAGACACCCTTTGGTACAACACTAAAAGTTTGTTGCTGCATAAAGATGCCATGCTTAAAGAAAGCAAAAAATTACTGAGGTGGATCGCATCCTTCAGTATTTCTTTACTTCTTTTCAGAATTTGTGAACATCTATACAGAGTCATGTTGACTTTGCATATATCAGCCTGAACAGTACTAAAAGGAGCCTACAGAGAGCCAAACAGTGAGAAGGCAAGACTGGACAAATAACTATGGACTATACTCATACTACCCCTTCAACAGCCTTTAAATAAGCCGTTTTAGTCATGTTTAACAAGAAATTAAAGGCAAAGCTGTTCTCTCTTTCACCTATGCAAGCCACAAACTACTGTAATGTTCTAGGGAATCTATGTGAGAACAGAACTATTTTATTTATAGCCTTCACATTACTATCTGAGCATTTAACACACAATCATGAACCTGTGTGGTACATACTTACCATTACATCGCTTTATAGATGGGGAACTGAGTCCAGAGAAGCTGAATGAATTGCTTATGGTCACAGAGAAAAGTTGGTGACAGAAGCAGAAAGGTAAGCCACAGCACCTGAATCTCACATAGGGTAAACATACTCCCTAATTGCACAGTGCCACTGTCACACTTGGACACTACAAGACAGCAATTTCACCAGGAGCATTTTAAGGAAGGTTACTGACATGACATCCAATTCAGGGGAAGATACAGCTCACGGAAACACAAAAGCATTCTGAGTATAACACACCAGCACTGTCATATGGTAGGCAGAGCAATAACCAAAGATATCTTGAGACATACAGAAATGAGGCATCTTGAGGAGCTTTGCTTGTCTGCTTTTCTAAAATGTGTCTGTCAGATAAACAAGTCATGCTCCCACGTAGTGCATTTTTTATCACCCCAGGAAAGGAAAGATTTTGGTCAGAGAAGCAACAGTGGCTAAACTGAAGCAGCAAACTCTTCAGCCCGTCAGTTTTAGGAAAAGTATGACACCACCACCATCACCCCCAGTCCTCATAGAGATAACAAAGATTCAGTTTATAATACAAACTTTTTCTAAAACAAAAAAAAAGATCATAGAACTAAAAACCTCTTGAAGTTCTTCTGCTTTTAATTAATCTGCATGCCAGTTTTGGCTGGAACCAGTAGCTTTGAGGCTCAGCACTCGTGATCCCAATGGGAAGACAGGGAGCTGTGTGGTGCTAGCACGGTGAATTCAGAAATCGCCAAAACTAAATTCCAAAATGCTTTTAAGCTTTCCCCTTTGCTTGTCTAAAAAGCAGAGCCATATGTGGGGATGCCACTCTGCTCCAACACCAGTCTGAAAAATTCCCAGCACGAAGGAATTCGGAAATCCTGTCATTTGTTCTTATCCCTCTGCCCTCTGGGGACTGAAAAATATTTCCCTGTGGAAGAAAAAACCTGAAATGCGTGAAATGGAGATGAAGATTGAGAAAGCAGTGTTTAAAAACCCCTTAAGAGGCTTTGGGACCGAAACTCATATGAATAATACTTCAAAAATTCTGCAGAGAAAGCCAGGATGACTTTACAGCTGTCAGATCCTGGCTCTTTCTTTAATCCTGCTCAGACTACAGCTGCTGACTTACAGGCTGGGCCACACGCAGGAGAGGGAAGCCTTTCCTTCAGCAGCACCCACTTTGCTTAGTGCAATGCTTTAAGCCATACATGGGAGAAAGTAGGTTGGCAGAAACTGTAGAAACAGGGTGTCTTTGAAAGTGCGACTGCTTTTGGCAAACTGAATTTATACATGAATCCGCCTCATGCCTGCTTTGCAATGTATCACGTTGTTGAAAGAGAATGACAGCTGGGGACTAAATATTTCCTTCCTGGATCCAGAAACAGATAAAAAAAAAAAAACCCTGGTTACTCTTTTTTTATATAAAAAAGGAAAGAGTCCAACCTGAGGATAACACTCTCCCATCTTTCACCTTAGTGATCTCTAATAACAGGCTCAGACTCAAAGCTCACAAACTCACCCACTGACAGGCATTTCTAGCAGCTAAAAGAAAAGCATTTCCCCTTCCCCCACGCAAAAGCATCCCTTTTAGCTCACTGGAACACAGAGGATCAAAGGGCTCTTTTTCTAAATGCTTTGAAAGCTATTGTAACATCTTTCATGAGGCTGACAGCATTCTAACTGTCCTGATAGCTACATAACGCTGATGTATTTATAACACACGGGCTCTGCCTGGGCCCCAGAAAACCAAACCTGAACAAATACACTTAATAAGAGCAGGGCAGGCCACAGCACTTCTGACATGCTCTTTTAGCCGTTGACCAGGAAATTAAAAGGACTAATTAGGCACCTGCCCTGAGGGCTTTGCAGGAGAGCAAAATAAACCTGCATTTTGCCATTCAGTGCCAACAGCACGCACACACACGAAATACAGCATTAATAATACACTCACGCTTCACCTCTGAAGACCCGGAGTCTAATTTCTCTTATGAGAAGGGCATGCGAAAACAAGCTCAGTGGTCACTAGCATCAGGACAACACTACCTCATTTGGCACGGTGCAGTTTGTCTCCAGGCTCAGGAAGGGAACTGTGGACAGAGCCCTCTTTCTACATCTCTGCTTCTAGCCCAAGGGCAGAGAAAATTGGTCATGTTCAAGGGCTAGGGAGGATAGTCTGTTTGGAGGGTCAGGGCCAGGACACGTCAGGAAAGGGCAACCCAGAAAGGGAGTTAAACAGGAGAAAATACTTCTTGGGTAAAAACAGCAAGGTTAAAAATCAGAATCCCCATCCAAGAAGGTTTCTGATCTTAATTTTCAAATGAGCTTGGTTTGTCCAGAAGGGCTTTCACTGTAGAACACGACCACAGAGACAAGACAAACAGCAGGAAAACAGGGTTTGTAGAGGTCTTATTACTGCTGAAAATGGCTACCACCAAAAAAAGAGAGCACAAACATCCCTGTCTTAACCTGTTCCCAGGAAAAAAAAGAAAAAACCCAACCATAAGTTCTCTGTTTCACAGAGAAAGTAACAGGTCCCAGTGCCTATCATAGAGCACGATTCTTTGCACTCATTCTTTTTTTGGCCATAATTCATGGTATTTTCTCCCAGTAGGTTTCAAAGAAATTATTTCGTGGCACACTTTGGGGTAAATGTCTGCTGCAGGACTGAATTGAGATTCTTTTACCTTTTCTTCTTTAATTTCAACAAAATGAAGAACACAATGAGTGAGAACTTAAGGATTATAAAATGTAATGGACCATGGACTGGGAAAAGAGAAGCATGCACTATGACAACATGCTCTATAACATCTTCAAAATACTGTCCAGCATCAAGGATCAAATACAGTACACCAGCCACCAAAAACCTGTGGTTCTACTTCTTGAGCAGAAAGAGCAGCTACATTAGTTGGTATTAATATTAGGGTCTTACAAGAAGCATTACCTGCTAGAAAAGGATATGTAATGTAAGCTGTAATCATTATGTCACACTAGCTTCCCCTCATGGCACTACTATTGTATTTTATCATTCCAAAAGTCATAAGATTTCCCTTGTTTTCTGCCTCCAAAATACCAGGGAATGGAAGCTTAATGCAACTTCTGACTTGAAACTTAATTCAACAAGTAATGACACCATGCAGCTCACTAGGGTCCATAGGAACTGAATGCCTACAGTACTAACTGTGCCCCATCACCTTGCAGCCTATAGTTTATATAGGAATTAGTATTCTGAAAGACCATAGCTCTACAGCTGCCTTTCGCATCAGCAGTGAGAATGTAGTGACAGTAGGATAAAAGACAAAAACAGGCTGAAGTGACATTGAAGAAGGAACACGAGCCAAAACTTCTTGATCCCTGATCCTCGCTATACTAACAGAGTAAATCAGGAAGACTATAGATGTGGGTTTTTTTTTTAAGTCACCATCATAATGCCATGTTACACACGCTCCCAGAAGACGTACAGAGGCTCTCAACTCTGTACATGCATCCAATTTATTCTTCTGGAAGGAAAGAGAAAGGAACATGGGTTCCAAGATGCCTTTTTAGAGAGAGAAGACTGCTAGTAGTTAGCATGTTAAATGATGATAAATAACATAGAAATGACCATTTGTTAAGAAAAAAACACACCTTTTTTATTGCCAACTTTGATAAAAATAGTTACTAAAATAAAAGAAGTTCATCAAAAAAAGTTATTGCCAGTTCAGTTGCCACCCATGACTATACTGTAATATTTAACATCTCATGAAGCTTACCCTTGCCATATCAACAAGGAAGTTCTCAAATAACTTCCAAATATGGTTACTGGCATAGATTTCTTTCATTTCCACTTCAGTGTCCACGTAACAGTGGTTAACAAAATTAACATAGGCTATTTTCACCTGCAGGAACAGCAAAAACACAAACAGTATGAAATGGAACAGTAAAAACAATTAACATGACATTTTCTATCTGTAAAAATAGTGAACGATAAAGATGATCCTTCAAGTACTGACAAACACTAATAACAGTAAAAATGCATGTGTTCAGTTCTGAAGGTTTAAGGAGAAGCACAGCAACAAATGCATTAACGTACTTACTGAAAGATCACATGAAGAAAAATGGAAAGGGTTTGCAAACATTCTTACTCTAACAACAAAACCCCACAAAACAAACCAATAATAAATCTGCTATTTAAATGATATTAAGACTACAAGGGCCTGGCTCCAAAGCCAGGAGCTGTCAAAATGCCGGACACTCCTGCACTTGCCATTTGACTGCTGTGGGTTGATGCCTTGTGACAGGCTTGCCAAATATAAAAAAAAATGTCTTTAGCAGAGCTGGGACTGCAATCCCTATATTCCCACAATCCTAATGCAGCATTTGCATTTGGGGTGGGTGTAACTCGGATCTAAATGGAATAGAAAGATTGTGCAGCACTGGGACTGCAGCCACAGCAGCACAGGGCTTAACAGGATGTCTTCAGTCTCACTCCTCTCCTGCATTACAAGTCTGCATGTGCACGTCATAAAAATGGATATCCAGTGCCTGAAATGTGTAGATTAAATATAAGCATACACAGATACAACGAAAATTTCTTGTCGCGGTCAAAGGAGAGGAGATAGTTGCGTATGTTTAATGCAGTCAGGAGAAAACTCATGTCAGACTTCTAAGTTTCATTTGTTTGAGCTTTTTTTTAATTAGCATCTGTTGAAATTAATGTTAGGAGGAACTTTTGAGCAAAGCAAAAATTTTTCTTTTTAAGAAAAGAACCATTTGATCACAAGGGGACTTTTTTATGGCACGGAGGGAGTCTTTACTCCTGCAAGTCCCAGTTCTGTTGATATGAGCCACATTTTTCCACTAGATAGCCTGCAGAAACCTGTCGCCAGAGCAAAGACTGTGAAAAGATTTTTTGATCACATCAGGTTTGGTGCAAACAAACATTCCCCTTTTGATCAGCATGAGGTATCACAGTCCTACTGAAGCATGACAGGTAGTAGCTGCAGAATTGGGCCTCAATACGCAGTGAATAAAAAGATTTGCTGGACTGCAACTGAATTTAATAAAATGAGACTTCACCCAAAACTCTCACTGACTTCAGTGTGGCCAGAATGTTACCCATCATTTCCAACAAATTCAGGCAGCAGCAAAACGTTGGCTTGACAAACCATTCAGCTGAGTCTTCACAGCTACAGCCAGAAGTTATCAAAGCATTAAACTCTGATAATGGCTGGACAAACCCAGGAAAACAAAACAAGGTGTCTGCCCCAAAAAGCTGACAACCAAAGCATAAGGGACAAAGAATTTTCTGTTTAAGAAAATACTGGCCATCCTTTCTCACTTATTCACCTTAACAAACACCACCTGTTTCCAGCCTGTTTTCTGTGCAAACATTCGACTTGCCAGTATATTATAAACAAAAAAAAACCCCATTTACTGAGTTTCTAAAAATGATAAGTCTGCTTTCTCATTCAGTGGATCTTACCTCAGGTATGCAGTCATCATGGGTCACTACTCTCACTATATCATCCAGGGGCAGGAGTGAATTGCACTTGATCTCTGTGTATACATTTTTTCCTTCTGTACAAGCTGCTAGCAATTCCACTAGAGTGATGTGATACGCTAAGGGTCCACTCTCGTCTGCTCGATCTCGCTCTGAACACATCATTTGGAGTAGGACTGGAAATGATGCTCTGTCATTGTAGAATATCAACACATCTTCACCACCATTTATCAGCTAAAAAAGATATCACAAAGTTTTAAGCACCCTGCACTGCAGTCACTTTGGACTCAATGATCTTAGAAGTCTTTTCCAACCCAAATTATTCTATGTGTTTCTTAATTTCTTGTTTTGTTCTACCTTTAAGTATGCAACGACTGTCTAGATTAAAAAAAAAAAAAAAACCACAAAATTAGTCTGATGTGGCAAATGCACATGTCAAAACAATACCCAAGGCAAGCTTCTGCTCTTATCTACATAAGTGCAAATCTGGAATAACTCACCAAGGAGCGAGCTAATGCAAGGTGAATTTGAAGTTTAATTTCTATGCAGCTCTGTGTTTACGTAAGACAGTATGCCATTCTTATTATTCCTACCATCTCAATGTTTGTTTGAAGTTAATTAATTACCCTCACCTCCTGTTGGGAGGCCAGGATGCATTATTATCCCTGTTTTATAAATAGGGACTTGAGGTGCAGAGAGATTAAATCTTCCCTGCTACCTCACACAAAAAGCCTGTGGCTGACCCAGAATTTAACCAACCTCTTCTGTGCCCTTGCGCAGCATCAGAAACAAAGGACAATTCTTCCCAACCTATGCAAATTTGGCAGATGGGTCTTGACATTGTCAGCGTCACGCCAGTACTTCCATTTAACAGAAAACTAGTGTATGTGATAAATATTTGATTTTGCTACAAGTGCATTGCTCATCTCAAGAGGATCCAGAGCGGAGGTGGATGCTGGCAGCCCCATCTCAGCAGATCTCACAGAAAAGTTATGCTCTAACTCTGTTTTGAACTCCCCCATACACTGCATATACCTACTGCCAGCGCTGCTCTGTGAGCTCGAGGGGAGCTGGGACAGGACAGTAGTCCTGTCTTCTCTCCATCACTTTCCTTTTAAGCATAATACACTCTCAATGCAGAGGAAAACGCACTCTCAATGCGGGTGAAAATAAGCTCCCATAAACCCTTCCTAGTACAGAATACACCTTGGCAGCACAACGTCCGTACGTATTTTGTGAATAAGGCACTTGACATGTCCAAGTCTGTATGTGATGTGAAATCCTAGCTTACTGAATTCAAGGGTAGAAATAAAGGTTGGTGGAGCCGTTGAAAAATGGGAAAGCAGCAAGAGCAGGAAAGAAAATTAGCCTCCCAGAAAGAAAAGTCAAGAAACATTTCACTACATTTTCCAGGGTTTCAACATTTCAAATTTTGAATTTACAACTTTTCTGACTGTGTTTTCCCTGTTTCTTGCTTATTTTTACTTTGACAGTTGGATGGAGTGAAAAGTCTTTCCTGCAATTCCTATTTCTCATTTATCTTTGGGTTTCTAAAATGTTTCTACTCGTGACTTTTCAAAATAGACATTTTGTGGACAATCCACAGTACAGAAAAAAATGTTTTTAAAGGGACAAGTGCTTGGGAAAGGGGAAGGCGACAGTACAGGGACCCAGATACCATTCATTTCATTGCACTCAGTGGCAAAAAAAAAAGGGGGGGGAGACACACATATAAGTATTCAAAATGTTGGAAAATTGACCTAACTTTTTAATACTGATGTCTGGAATACTCTGCTCTTAGGACCTTTCACCACAAAATAATAAAAAAAATCCACACTAATCCCTCTGGGAAGGTACATGCCCTGTCACTTTCTATTAAGTTGTTCACCACATTCCCATAGTTTTTTTTCCACTTGTGTACATTTTGCACAGAGGAGAGGGAAGATGACTCTTTCCAGATTCCCCCAGAGTTACACTCTTATGTCAAAATCCGGAACTAATCTCTACCAATATTGTTTGATATTATATCAAGTCAAACTGACCCCTCATCCTTTCATGTATCTATCACTGATGAATGAGGAGGAAATACCAGGATAGTGAACTTGTGAAACATGATGCTGCATGACATGCTTGCTACATACTGACTATGGGGAACCACAACCCGAAGAAGATGATGTTGCATCAGCACAAGAAGAGCTAAGGGGGGCAAGGTAATCATTGTAAATGCAAGGACAGAAGAAGATGTCATCCCCTTTCCTCAAGTTATCTACTTTTAAATGTGATTTGTGAAGGGCATCCAAACATTGACCCAAGCAGACAAAATGACATCCCTTTAAAAGCAGAAAAGGAAGAGAAGTATGCAGTGTTAGCCAAAGTTCTCACTGAGCAGCATGAGCTCAGTGATGAGTTAAAAAAACAAAACAAAACCAAAAAAAACCCCCAGCAGCATTTTCTTCCACTAAAGTATATTTTCAACAAGTTAAGAGCTCTATGGAAGGATAACACAGGTTGGTCAGTATCGGAGCAGCTGTTGACGCTCTGTAATGTATCGCTCCAGAATACTATAGATAATAGAAAACTCTGCTGCCACATTGATCTGGTTCAAAAGTAAATTCTGCTTTCCCTTTTGTAATAATGTTTGCACTGATAGGCGGTGTTCTTCCAGGAACCTCAAAGCATGCTTGTAATGAGAAAAAGTGCCCTAAGGAACCTTTCAGGTCAGTAAACATCATTACTAGCACTCTACAGACATGGGAACCAAGGATATGAGAACAAGTGAATAAGCCAGATTGGGAAAGTTCAACGTATTTTATGACAGTACTCTTTCGCAATGGCGCTCCTTCATCTGTATGCACTTTCTAAAGCATGTAAATATGATCGGTTTATGCCTTACTCCCAGTAAACAGGAATAAGCTACAACATACTTCCCGTGGGTAAAAGAAAACACAGGAGTAGTTGAGGCATGCTGTATACTCATACTCTATCTTGTCTTGTGGTTAAGTTGTTTACATGCCCCACCTGGAGGCACAGGAGAAGTTACACCACTTGTTTAAGGTCACACAGTACATCTCAGTTGTCTACTGCGAAACCGTCCTGACTCCCTGGCAAGTTCCAGCCATTTGGCTACTGTTCCCTTTATATTGCATCGCCATTCAAGAGCCGTTTAAATTTCACTTTTAGCATCCTTTTCTAACAAATCATAATTACTTATTGTAATTTCCTACTTTTTTTTAAAACAGATCATCATCTTACCCTCTTTCATCAAAATAGGGGTGCTCCCTCCCCCCAGCAAATTCCTGCAGGACTCATGATGTAAATGTCACATCCGAGTGCATTTTGATTTTCATCATACAGTCAGCTTGAAAATGTAATATGACAATTTATCTTTGCGCTATTATAGGTCAGTAACAAAATGTATTTAAATTGAGAAAAATCTAAAAATTTTGTCTGATGAGAAAGTGAAAACCTACAAGAAGCTGTGGTGGAAGGGGAAAAATCTAAAAGCACAAAGGCACAAGAACTGTTTGAATTATGTAAATCAAATGCTTGTAATTGATATTGCATGTTAAAACACTTCAGTCAAATTGAAAAGGTTGAGGTGGATTCCATTAAAGGTTATCCATGTAGGCTGAAGCTTTATTTTCTTAATTAGAAGTTTCTCCTCTTTGCTGCTGTGGAACAAAATTTCAGCAGGGTTTCGTTTTGTTCATACCACAACTAGAGCTTATCTGTTTTCTTTGTGAAGGTGTCTCTTCAAAAAAACAAAAAAAAATGCACTTTGTAAAGTAAAGAAAAATGTTCCTTGGACTCTGATCCTACCTGGACTTTCCACTGTGTTCAACTTTACCCACTTATTAATCTCACTGAACTGTTAACATAATTACAGTTAAATGCATGAGTATGTGCAAGTTGAAGACTTCATTTATCATGCACGCTATATATCAAATCCTAATTGCAGAGAAGTCAATTATGTATTTTCCTAGTTACTTCATTGGCATAAAGATTTGTCCACAAACCACTGTGTGGAATTCACCATGTCAGACTCTGAATCCAGCCAGTTAAGCTAGAGTAGCTCTACTGACTCTCACAGAAGTGCTCTGGAACAAAAGAAACAAAAGCAGAAACTAGTACCTAGAACTGTTACATGGTTACTTGCTAAAAAAATGCTCTACAACACTATTTAGACAAATCCATAGATGTAAGAGCTTCTTATATGGCAAAACCATGCCACAGTATGGCAAGTTTGGTGCGTAAATGGGATCCTAAATTACAGTACATGAAAATGAAGGTTTATGTAACTCTGAGATTTCCATGCTACATCATCTACAAATAGACATCTCTCTATCACCATGCTAACACTCATGTTTTCTTTCTAGTAGTTATACAGATGGCCTTACAAAATTAGATTAAACTCCCAAAAACGTCTGCTAAAATATTCATTATTTGTGATAACATTTAAAATTCTAAAGCAATGATGCCATTACATCCCATTGGTATCAAGAGCAGAAAAAGCAACTTCAAAATACTAGTGTGTGAAAAAGACATCACACGAGAGATTAACATATGAACTCTTCACTTACCTCTGTCATTACCATGTCCTGGCATTTTTTCACGTATTTGCCATCTGCTTTCACAATGGTCTGCAGGAAACGCAGGTACTCCACATGACGGCCGTGGGTCTCAATGCAGTGCACAAAGTGCTGCACCACTCTCTCACTAATTTCATTACACAGAAGGTAATTATTCATGAAGATGTGCCGCATGGTTTCAGCTTCCAGGAGCTAAACAGATTAAAATCAAAACAGCCTTACAAGAAGAGCAGATTTGTTTTGAGATTGAAAGATTCACAGGACTCCAGACTAGAGAAAGGCATGTTGGTAAAGGGAAACTGGAAAAGTCCAATGTGCACCAGCCCAGTGATTAAGCAGTGACCTTAGAGCCTAGCTTTCATTTATGATTGGATTTCTCCAAACTCTCCTATGAGTACAAAATGGTCCTGAAGTGGACATAAACAAAATCTGTGTCCATGTGGAAGGTGAAGACACACACATACACACACTACACTGCTAGACCACTCCACAGGGACTTTGGTATACAAGACAACCAAGACCACATTCATCCCACTCACCATCGAACTTTGCATTGAGGCAACCAAGTAAGACGATTAGCTACCTCTGGCTCCCTCTATGCTTGACAGAGGCAGGCATTTCCAGCAGGCAAATCATTGCACGTGCAGTCTGATCACTCTCTGGGAGAACATCTCTTTCCACATTAACTACAGAGGGAGCCTAAGGCTATGTTTCTATTGATAAGTAGCACGGTACAAGAGGAACAGATCTGTAGCAAGAAAGGGATACTGCTGAGGACCCAGCATCCAAGACTTTATACATTCTGGGAGCTTTTGGTTCAAACATCCTCTAGTTTGGTCCCTTGGACTAAAGGCTCATGAGATTCAGGTGTGCTCCTAGAGCATACCTTTCTGCTTAGTGTCATGTGAAAGGAATCCAACACCAAGTTTGCTCTACAATGTGAACAAAAGCACAGTAACTGGGATGATCAGAAGATCAGCTTCAAAAGAACAGAAATGCAAGTGCAAGCAGGCTCCATACTTGGCACCTGAGTTCAGTGTCAATGTTGGATACGATGGAGTCTGTGCGCTAGTCCCGCCTGTGGTCAGCTTAGCACCTTCCACTAGCTTGACAAAAAAAAAAGCAGAAATAAAAAATAACAGAACAAATCCTTCCTAATGTACACAGGCCAGGGGTCCACAGTCATAATACAATCTTTATAATAAAACCCTGTTTTGCTCAGTTGATCTGCCACAGAGCAAGGTGTCATTCTATGTGACTATATCTGTACACACACCCCTACATATATACACACTTAATTTTTAATTAAACAAAGGGACCTTGACAAAGAGGTTTATTGTAAACACAATGATTTAATAAAAGATCAAATTTTAGATTATTTAAATCAAATGGAAGCATCATCAAGAAAAACGTATGGGTCTGATTCTGGTATCACACAAGCTTCATGAGAGCATAGTCACAGCATCTTCTACCCTGACTTATAGTCCATCTGTGAGTGAGTGAGGATGAATGAGATCAGAGTCAAGCTAAACATGATGTGATGATGTGACCCATCTTCATAGATACTTCCAGTAAAACACACAGGTAATATTGTTCTCTAATTTTAAAACTGCAACATTAAAAACAATGACATAAAGAGACAAAAGACAGGAGAGAGAAGACAATAAGGGAGAAAATACAAGGAGAGCGAAGAGAAGGCAGAGAGGACATAATTTAATGAAATAATTTATTTAGCAGTGTCATTTTTCAGCGAGTCCAAATTTACTTCCAATTATAATATTCTCCTTAAAATGAAATACTTACCCCCGGAGTTAAGAACAAGTTGAGATTTTTGTGGAGGAGAACTTGATTCTGAGGATTTCCTCGACAGAAATTCTGAAGAAAAGTGTGGGCTAGATTCATAACTTCATTCATCTTTTCATCGCTCTGCAAAAAAGAAAAGACAAACTAATCAGCTGGGAGTACCTAAACATACTTGTTAAAACTGCATAACGTGAATTCAGCCAGGAACAGAGCAATTTTCCTGAGCCTTTTATAGGGCAGGAATTATTCCTCTGGCAAAAGCAAGTGATCCAGTTTTCTTCAGAGTCCGTTAGTGACTATACCTTACTCTGAATCAACTTGACCATAGGGAGCCACAGAGGTAAGGACACAAACTCAAAGTAAGATTTCCTTGTGCATGGTTATAATTTTCTAGTTTAAAAAAGTGCTAAGTGGCTTGATTTTAAAAAAAACCTCTCTAGCCAGCATTGATTTTAAGCTTTTGAAAAGCTTTGGCTTTTATATAGCTACATATAGAAACAGATGTATGCATGCATGTGTGTGTACACCTACATGCATATGTATGTTCATACACATACTCCCACACAAATATATGTCTAGTTTCATCCCCATTTCATATTCCTCTCATACAGTATTCTAACTGTGATTCGATGAACCACCTGTACGGACAAGCACTATTTTACTGAAGACAGCTGAACCCAGTGCCTGTATCATAACATTAGTGTGTACCGCTCAGGAAAATGTAGCCCAGAAGAGGCTTTATCTCCTCTCAATGCTTCCTATAAGATCTAGAAAGATGTGCTCTTTAAAAGGCTATCTAGATCATTCATTTGTATGCTCAATGCCACTCAATCAGTACAAAATCACATGATCTTCTGAAAAACTTGCAAGTGGAACTAGGTTAGAGGCTTCCACCACAGAAACAAAGAAATTATTTCAGACTTGATCCTAGAAAGCTTTTTGTCCATCTTACGTATCTACGATACCACTCACATCAGTACCCAACAGTGGAATTTAGATACCCCGCCAGGAGCTACATTAAATCAATACTTCTTACTGTGCAGTGACTGCAGATCTAAGGTTTGCCTATTTCAGGAATGGGATGATAGCGCAGTGACATTCAGGTACCTGAGGCAGTAAACATTAAGTTCTTAAGACAATCTGTTCTATGCAGGCAGCCATATTTAAACTTAGGCCCAAACCCGTTATTCTTCAGGTACAAAATAGCATCATCGTTTCATGTTTGTACCGCAGCTGACTGAACTCAGTTAAAATAAAATATTCACATTGATTCTTGGGCCTTTTGAGGCCTTTCACTTTATTGAGTTCATGTTCTTTACCACTGAAATTATGAGAATAACCTTTTCATAGGGTATCTGCAGAAGGTCCAAGACTACCAAGTGGGCGCCCATATTTTTCAGCAATCGCTGCTGTTGATTCCGACATTTTTTATTCTGAACACAAAGTTTGCTGAGTCGAATCAAAATCTATAAATAAACAAACAAATAAATAAGCATGCAAGCAAGCAAAGAACCAGTCATGTCACACAAAAACAAACAATACATTCTTTCAATATAATTACTAAATCTACTTATCAAACAAATATGTCAACCAAGTTTCTTAGCAGATATACCAACCTCTTTAACAATATTGTAGTTATTGCTTTTGTTGCTGTCTATCTGGGGTTTTTTGGTCCCATCCTGTATTGGACTCAAAATATTTGACTCCTGTAACAAAGAACACACATCAGCTGGAGATCTATTGCAATTTCTTCAACATGAACTAATTATATTTAATAACAGCAAGTGAAGAAGTATTACGGCAGCTCACAAGGAACAGATATAACATAGACAATAAAGGAAAATACTAGTTTATTCTTTATCTACCAGTCCAGTAAATTAAAAGATTCACATTCAAGTCCGTCCTTTGTTTCAAATTTCCAACATGATTTGAGGCAATTACTCTATGCCTTCAAGCTTCTGATCCTCCCAAAAAAGAATACATCCCTATCACAAACTAGACATCCCAAGGAATTTAGATACTATGAGAATAGGGACCATAAGTGTATTTCAATAGCCACCACTTGTTCCAAAAATCTCTAATACAGCTGGAAAGATTACAAAGTCATGTATGTGAACATTAAAGTCTGGAGAAGGAGCTTAAGATGACCTCTGTAGTTGAGGTAAGTAGGGTGGAGTTCTCAGCAGTACAGAAACAAGTAGCATGTAGAAATTAGAGATGTTCCTCCCATGAAGAGGAGACTTCTGTCCTTATCTCTGGATGATGCAAGAAAGGATTTAAAAACAAATGAGAACCTTATGTTAAACTGCAACATCCAGTCATGATGCCGTATGCTCTGGGCCTTGGCTCTTAGGAAGCCGCAGCTGGGTATGATAAATAAGAGAAATCAAGTCAGCAAGTAACTGCCAACACCCACGCACCTTTCCACCTCAATCAAAACACAGAAGAACATCTATACAAATACTGCCACTTAGAATACTGGCAGTGGGGTTTTTTTCTGCTGCCAGCTATGGTAAGCCTTTCTTAACTGGAAACACAAAGAATTGAAAGATTGGACTTTGAATGCTGAAATTACTAAGAATGTAGAAAAACGGCAGCAGATCTTGAGACTGCCTTACAGTACAACCACAAGGATGTAAACCAGTGTAATAGCATTAAAAAAAAAGAACCAAACAGGTGCACTTCTGAGTTTCATTGTGTCCTCAAACTTCCTACTGTTTTAGAGAATTATGCTAAAACACACACATGCACGCCAATCTGAATGTTTATACCTCTTGAAACCTCTCTCTGAACTTTCTTAGCTGATGGTGAAGATGAGGAGTTCTATAAATCCCATCTGGCCTTAATTTCCAGTGGCGCAAGAACAGCTGCACTACTTGGCCATGCAAGCTGTTTTTAACAGTGTCAGCACCGCTGTTCAGTGTGGTCATGTTGATCTATGCAACAACGGTGGATTTTTATTTGTTTAGGTTTGTTAGTATGCATGCTGCCTTCTTTCTAGCTGTTTGAATCAATACTTTGGAAGATATTTCAGGCTCTTTGCTATAATTAACCACCCTCCTCTGTTCTGGGACTGTGGGTTAACCAAGATTAATTTACCTGTTACTTTTATCAGCATTCTTCCTCAATCAAAGTAGTTTTATAATCCATGGGAATTATATGTCTTATCTGGAAGTGCTGATCAGCATTAAACTGCTGAATCTATCCTTTCTCTTAACAAAATAAAAACCTCTTTATTGAACCCATAAGAGTATGCCAGGGATGTAGTTGTCAAGAGATAATCACACCACCGGGATATCAGAGACACTCAGTTGCATATCTTGGCTCGTTACGCCCCATGATAGACATTCTCTGTCACACTTTTCCATAGGGGACAGGGAGCCATAGAGATCGCACTGAGAAAGGTTCTCGTCCAAGTACCCCACCTTCAGGAAATGGTATTTGCTGAAACAGACTACTTCCTCTATTCGTAAGATTCCCAGGATACCGCTTTGCATCAGTCTTAGGATCCTTTCTAGCCCCAGATGGAGGCCCAGATTCCAGCACTCAGCCCGAGCGCTTCCCCGCCGCTGAAAGAGTCTCACTCATCCCAGCAGGACAGCTGTGCCAGGCGCTAGTCAGCGTCACACTGGCACAGTTTTGCCTTCCACAGGCTGTATTTACTTACCAGGGGGAACAAGGGACACTCTGAGAAATTTCAGGTCACGATCTCAACCTATAGATGATATTTCAGGAGGTGTTTGTTTAAACGTTCCCAGAACCAAAGCAAACTGCCAGAGACCAGAGAAGGAGGAGAGCAAGGTAACACCAGGCGCTTACGGGCGCTCGAAGTTTATACCACTTGAAACCTCGCCCAGCTTTCTTAGCGGATGGCAAAGATGAGAAGCTCTATAAACGCCACTACGCTGTATTCCAGCTTCACCTGAGAGTCCTTTCACTGAGGCTGTCTTTTCTTCCTGGCCTTTCTTCTCCTCAGATCTGTGTTGCTGGTGCTACACCACCAATGCATCCTCCAGCGACAGGACAATAAAGACCACACTCTCCATAGTCCCTGGTATCTATATAGACTCATAATACCCTTCCTAGAAATAACCAAGCAAACAGGCTTTAGCTGCTTTTCCCTTCTCAAGCAAGGCTCAGTTATGTGAGATCAATTTCAGCATTTCCTCCTGACCCTATGTGGTGTCTAATTCATGTCTGACCTAACTCCAAGCACTCTT